CAATATATTTCCAGGCTTATTGGCTATTAGAATATCTGGTTACATAGAGATTTTTCTGTTTGTCTCAGGTATACAAGAATACTCATTACTGCATAGCCTGAATATACGGTGACAACATGCTGTATATTAATTACATGCATATTGTGTATATTTTATATACAGTGGAGCCTGGTTACACCGGACACAAATAATGTGGACGCTTCACCTTCCGGACAAAATTTGTTGGGAACAATTTATATTAATTTACATGTACCGAGTATATGTTTCAGTAATCTGGACGCTTCATTATTCCAGAAAATTTGCTCAGGAACACAAGCATCAGGATTATTGAGGCGCAACTGTACACTGTATTATTGATATTCCAGAGTTATCTGTTGCATATAGGTGGGGTTAATGCTAGGCCAGGAGACATAATAGAAAATCCCCCCCCCCCAAAAAAAAAAAGGTTAAACTTCCCAAATGATGAAGAGATTGGATTTTCTGGTGTTTTTTGCAGAAATCTATTTTTGAGATTATAATAGTCTCAAAGATGTGAATAGAGGATAGGCCTATAATCTACAGTCTTTATTTTCTTTTTCTTTTATTTTACAGTAAAACACAATTTAAGTCATCAATATTTCACCTTTTTACCAGTTTTTCATTTCAATTAAATTCCCAGTTGAAAGGGAACGTGACTGAGTAGCAAATAGAAGGTTAAATTAAGCCCTGTATTTATTGGTTATATATGAAATTACAGAAAATTGTAAAATAAGTTAATTATATTATTATACATGTACATTGAGCTTATTTACTGTAGGATGCCCTGCAGTGCATCCAGTTAATTTAGAATCTAACTATTATTTAAATCAACATTCATATATTGATATTTTATGTTTGCATGAAAATGTCAATTCTTTTAATTGGTATAAAAAGTATTGATGATTAAGAAAGATTTCAAATGATATATTAAATAATTTATAATTACTGAAACCAGTAAGTTATATACAAGGTTTGCTGTTTCAGGCATACTGTATATTAATCCCACATTGTTAAATTAATGTGAGTTAATTAATTGGTTTTTTCTATATATATACATGAATGTATATATAATTACCTTCACACTATATTGATTAAATGAGTGTACAGTATTGTATACTTTGCTCTTATGCTAACTATATATTGAATTTAAAAGATAATAAAGCATAGATTTTACCGATTACAGAAGTTATACGTGTACTAGCTACTTAAGAATATACATGTAGTTGGAAAACATGAGAAATTGATCTGTCAATTTGATGTACACATCTTTTCAAATCATGTAAGATTTACTCAGGTAAAATTATGCTCTGATCTTTAAAGTAGAACACAGGATTATACCATATAGATAAGTCTAAGACTCTTTGCATGTTTGTGTTAGACACATAAGTAACAGTTCCATAACGTAAGCTGAGGATTAAAAGAAACCGAGATGCTAAAAAATAATAAAAACATACAGATTGTGTGTGAATGACGTACACTGCACAGACAAACAGACAATGGAGGAAAATCAATCTTTCTGTGCCTATAATGCAGGCAGTAGAAAATCCCTGGGTGTCTGAAATTAAGGCAAAACAAAATCCCATAGCTAATAACGTATACCAGGTAGATTGACATAAAATCCCTAGGTGTCTTCAATTCAGGACATACACCTTTCCCGGGTGTCTTTAATTCAGATGAAACAAATCTCCATTTTGTTTGCAGTTTAGTTGACATAGGATTTATAGATGCCTGCAATGCTGGTAACACAAAAAAAATCAGATAATCTCTTCATGATTTTATGTGTCATATTCTTTATACTTCATGTCTGATTTTAATTGGTTTTCACAAAAAAGAGAGAAAGCTATCAAACTTCAATTATTTTTTTCATTTGTATATGTATTTTTTGTTACCATATCTCATTGCAAACGTTATGATTTATCACACGTAAGTAAACTAATCATTTACACAAATTCTGAATCTCACACCTTGATGACTCATTTTTAGCTCACCTGAGCCGAAGGCTCAAGTGAGCTTTTCTGATCAAATTTTGTCTATTATCTGTCGTCGTTGTCCTTATTGTTAACTTTTTACAATTTCATCTTCTTCTCCAGAACCACTGGGCCAATTGCAACCAAACTTGCCACAAAGAATCCTTGGCTAAAGGGGATTCAAGTTTGTTAAAGTAAAGGGCCACATCTTCTTCCATGGGGAGATAATTACAAATTAGTAAAAATGTAATGACATCATTTAAAAATCTTCTTCTTAAAAACCAGTGGGCCAGAAAATATAAAACTTATGTGGAAGCATCCTCAGGTAGTGTAGATTCAAGTATATTCAAATCATGACCCCCGGATGTAGGGTGGGGCTAGTTAGAATAATTTAACTGTGTCTCGGGACAAGTCCTCACTGAAGGACAATATCATTTTAATGATAGAACGTTCTATCTAGGGTGGGGCCACTATGGACAATCAAAGTTTAGAAATATGTAGGAAAATTCTATAAAAATCTTCTTAAAAACAGCAAAGTGGCAGTTAGTCATATTGATATGAAAGCATCTTCAGGTAGTGTAGATTTAAGTTTGTTCAAACATGAGCTCCAGGGATAGGGAGGAGTCACATTGAGAGATCAAAGTTTAAATTACAGGCATGCATGTATGGGAAAAATTTTAAAAATCTTCTCAAGAACCGCAATGCCATGGGTTAGTCATATTTATGTGGTAACATCCTTGGGAGGTAAAGATTCAAATTTGTTCATATAATGTCCCCTGGGATAGGGGTAAGAAATGTAAATACAGCTGAACTTCAGTCACTAATCTTGAACACGGATATCTCGAATACCTTGGATATGTTGAAGTGATTTGGAAGTCCCAGTCGCTTATTCCTTAAAGGGGGAGGAAATAAGCACCACCCTCAATTTTACCTGGTCTGTGAACCCCTGTCAATCAGATGAAATTAAGCCTGAGATTGGATACTGAAAATTGATTGACATTTTGTTACCTGCCGTTGTGTATATCTTGTATACCTTGGCTCGGGATCGTACCGATCATTGAATTAACATTCAGTCTTTGATGCCTACCGCATACATCGTGATAAAGAAGCAGCCAGAGCTGATATGATTTTTTTTTACTTTATGATAAAGTAATTAGCCATATATGATTTATATTTAATCAGTCTGTCAAATAATTAAATAAATGAAAAAGAAAATCAGTCATGTATCTATTTAAATTGTAATTAAGAAAGGGGGTTCATTTCACTATACAATCTATAATGCGGTATAGATTATCCAAATTTACACGTACATCGATTTTACTTAAAACAGAAAATACTGAATTGCTTTGGAAGCATCGTGTAATTTATTTAAATAATAATTCCTTTTTTATAATTATGAGATAGTCATATTGTCCAAGTTGAAAATTTCAAGATGTGTAATATTTCTTCGAGACGTGGTGATGAAAGTTACGGTAAAATAACCAGTTTTAAAGAGAAATAAGCTGTATTATAAAAGCTGTCATTGCGTGTGCAAGTTATGTTTAGAATTATGGATCCCGAGGAAAAAAAGTAGGATAAAGTGATTCTATTCCCGTTTCGTCTACCTGTCGGAGAAACAATACGCGGATGCCATGACCATTTTTACGAAACATGCATCATGGGTTAATCACATAGGAATTATATTAAAAATATTTATCTAATTTATTATATATTTTCTACAAAATTTAGACTTCCAACAGGATTTCTAAGTTTTAGAGACTTATTCAGGACCGCGCTTTTTTCTACTTTCGTTTTGCCAATGACTATTTCCCTCGGTGTCACCAGCTTTCAACCAAAGATTTGAAATTTATTAATGCACAAAATTAAACTAAAATTGTCTCCTTTATTCAAATATATTTTTAAAAAAGAATTGAACTAAAGGAATCAGTCTACATAAAAAAATTAGCATGATTTATTTCAGAAATTTGACGATCAACATTTCGATTGACCAACACGCGAAGTAAAACAATGTCTTAGGAAAACATTTTCAGGTAATACTGTGTATATAGATAGGTATACACAAGCCAGCTTGTTTCCCTCGGGGCTTCTCAGCCGTTTCAATTTAGCTCCACCCCACACCAAATTTACCTGAGGAAAACCGACCGGTTGAAAACCTCGGCCTTTAAGTATTTTGCCCTGGATATCTTGAACCCTCGGATATCTTGAAGTATTTTCTCCATCCCATAGAGTTCGAGTTATGAGGTTTGACCGTATATAGGAAAGTTGATCTGTTAAATACGTACATTAAGTATGAATACTGGTCCATCATACACATTCACTAATACATATAGTGTTACTTTTATTATTTGATAAGTATATATGTCAATTGTCGGAAGTCTTGGGCCGGTCAGACAGTTGGTCACCTATTGTTTATTGTTTCTGGCTCTGAATACTGTAAACCTACTTTTCCATATGGGGTCATAGTTCCATGGAATCACAGTTTCTATTCAATCCATGCAATAATAGAAAATCAAAACATACCATTTAATGCATAATACCGGTAATTATATGGCTGCAAAACAGGAACACATCATATTTGTATATAGTGTGCCATATTTGTTTATTAGCAAAGTGCCAGAGACAAAAAAATTGATTTGTTTTATATACAAAACTCATTATATCCATTGGCAATTAGATAGATCAAAAGGTGTTTAAAAAATAACAGGGAATTAAATTCACTTGACTATAAGTGTGAATTCATAATAGGCATGTTAGCTGTAACCATATTTTACTGTATTTACTAAGTATAAATTATAGCATTGTAATTCAAGGATATCCATTTGATGGGAATAGAAGCTTTAATAGAACATAATTGTAAAATAATCCATAATTTCTCACACGCTTGCATGTCTATATAGCATTCATTGACCATTTTCTAAGTGTATTAACATACTATGGTTATGTGATACAGGCAGTTAATGACTCCAGTACGCTGCATTTTTGACAGGTTTGATATAATATTTTTTTTTCTTTCAGAGTTAGGGTCGAGTTTTTCACAAATGAAAAATCCCTGAAAGAGCGACTGCAGCTGTACTTCATCAAAAACCAACGATCAAGTAGGTCATGTGACATGTTTGTCTCATTTATTTGATCATGTGATGGGTGTTCATTAAAATTCCTCACAGTAATTTTTTTTTTATTCATTTAGCCCCTATTTATAAGCAGAAATTGAAATTGGAATTACATGTACTCAACTGTGACCTTTTGTTTAGTCTTGTTTTTAGCTCACCTGAGTCGAAGGCTCAAGTAAGGTTTTCTGATCGAAATTTGTCCATTGTCTGTCGTCGTCATTGTCTTCATAAACTTTTCACATTTTCATCTTCTTCTCAAGAACCACTGGGCCAATTTCAACCAAACTTGCCACAAAGTATCCTTGAGTAAAGGGGATTCAAGTTTGTTCAAATGAAGGGCTGCACCTTCTTCCAAGGGTGGATAATTATGATTTTGTGAAAAATTAATGGCTTCATTTAAAAATCTTCTCCTCAGGAACTGTGCTTGAAAACATGAAATGTATGTGGAATCATTGTGAGGTAGTGTAGATTCAAATTTGTTCAAATCATGACCCCCGGGGGAAGGATGGGGCCACAATGGGGGATCAAATTTTTACATAAGAATACATAAGAAAATCTTTAAAAATCTTCTCAATAACAGCAAAGCCATGATTGGTCATATTTGTATGGAAGCATCCTCAGGTAGTGAAGATTCAATTTTGTTCAGATCATGACCCCCGGGGGTAGGGTGGGGCCACAATGGGGGATCAAAGTTTTACATAGGAATACATAGGGAAAATCTTTAAAAATCTTCTTCTCAAGAACACCAAAGCCATGATTAGTTTACTTATGTGGAAGCATCCTCAGGTAGTGAAGATTCAAGTTTGTTCAAATCATGACCCCTGGGGGGTAGGGTGGGGCCACAATAAGCAATCACAGCTTTACATAGTAAATAGTTTAATAAGATCCTAATTGTGCATTAATATACAATTAAGTTTATTTTGGTCGGTGATACTGATTATTTTGTTGTAGGTCTTCGGATTCGAATTTTTAACTTTGCCATCAAGCTATTGACATGTATTCTGTATGTTGTAAGGGTGATGTCAGAACCTGAACCATCAGAATGGTAAGTGACTGTGTTGTTAATTAATGAACACTTGAGCATATAGTCCATAATGGAAACCTCTCTGTTTATTGGTAATTGATGTGGGCTGAAAAAAAGTTAACATAAAATTGAAATTTACATTTAGCATTTATTTACCAAGTACCTGTACTGATACTGTACCATAATGCAAGATAAATCTACATCCACTCTGATATTACTATGCAAATCGGCTCCCATCTAATACATGTATAGTGTATACCAAGTTGGCATCATTATATTCTAATCAAAGGTATTACCTTATGGCAGTTAAAAAAATCCTTTAAAACTTGCTTCATGCCAAATTTCATCAGCCAAAATATTGTTGTTCTCAAAATGTACCTATGAGCTAAATCAGAATATTGCAGTATTGCCATATTGAGGTAAATTTGATCAGTTGCTTGCTGGTTTTGCAAGGCAATGATTGTCTCTGATATAATCTGTACTTCAAGTCACTAAAATCAAGCCACCTCTGGGCCTATGATATTGTTATTCTATAGGATTTGTTACATAATATTTCCTTGATGTCTAGCTATCATATAAAATCATTTTTATGAATTGGGAAAGCTCTGGTAACCTTTCGATGCATTTTTGTACATACTGTTTTAAATACAGTTAAACCTTGTTATCTTGAACTTGTAGGGACTAAGGAAAAACTTCAAAATATCCAAGGGTTTGAGATGTTGAGGTTTAAAAACATAAAGAAATTCCAAATGACTGACATATCCATGGTATTTAAATGTAGGAGTTCAACTGTATAATGGCTTAAATCAAATTTCTTGCCAGCACAGAAGTAAAGAACTGATAGTTATTGTCATTAGTAATATTTTAAAACTTCCATAATTCTCCGAAATGAAGCACACATATATAAAATGATTTGTAATATTAGAGCACAGTATGCCTGAACTTTCACTTCAGTTACTGCTACATGTAACAATAATCAAGCAGACAGTATGCATATATAGTTTTAGCCTAGCTTGTTTATTCATATCAAATTTTCATCTGTTGTTTGTTATTTAATTTTCATAATAAGGCTATGTATGGTATGCTTATAGCAATGAATAAATAATGTTTATATCCTCAGATTCACTGCAGACATGGTGTTCAATGTTTTCCACTTCATAAATTATGCAGCATACTTGAGCACCAATAGTGCAACCTGAGATATTAAATAGCCAGCGAAATTTTTATCCTACTTCTCAGTAATGCCATTTACATGTAGCATCTATTTTAAACATATGTGTAAGTAGAGCCGGGTGAACTTATTTTATACTGATTATAGAGTTACAGATATATAATGTGCATCTCACTTCCTTTCTCAGTGACTGTATAGTGTAGGGTGGCGCCATGAGAAAGCAAATTTTTAAACTGGCCTAGTTGGTCAAGCAGCATAGCACACTGTTCTTGCAGTGATAAGAGACAGGTTCTGCAGGTTGAGAGTTCAACCCAGGGTTGGGGGGGGGGGGGGTAGTGGATATGTAAATTTCTTTGTACTTTTCTATATCGATATTTCTTCACTTAGGGCAGCTTTGTTAGTTAAGGAGTTCATTGTAAATGTGCTTTAAATAATAAAAATAATATCTGTACAATGTGTATCTTTATCAATCTCTAGTAAAACTGATTTTCAAATAGCTGTATCTCACTTCCATTCTCAATGACTGTGTAGTGTATAGGCAGTGCCATGAGAATTCCATACCATCAAAAGCAAACTAGTTGGTTGAATTGTCTGGCAGGTTGTTCCTGCACTGCTAAGAGACATGTTCTGCTAATTATGATTTGTTTTCTTGGATATTTTGTAATCCACATAATCATGTCCTGTTTATGTAGCTTTTGAAAAGACATCCATTTACTAGGTCGAGGATTGATAATTAAGGCTTTATACATTTATGCAAACCAATTACTCAAGTATTTTTAAGCCAAAAAATAAAAAAAGAAGACACAGATTTTGAGCTTATCTAGGGAAAGGTCAAGGTTAGAATTATTCATTGTGTATGCTTCTCAAAATTTTGAGTATATTTTTAGCTCTTCTGAGCCAAAGGCTCAAAGAGCTAATGCTATGGCCATTTGTGCAGTGTGTGTAAACTTTTTAGAATATGGGCCATAACTCAAGAACCCCCGGCCAATTATTGTCAAATTTGTCACAGGGTATCCTTGGCCCAAGGGCTCCCGTTTATACTAGAACTAGGGTTGTGACCCTTAAACAAGGGGAGATAATTAGGAAAATAGAAACAAAAGTACTGGTTGCTAAAAAAATCTTCTTCTCAAGAACCACTGGGCAGATTATTACCAAACTTACACAAAAGGATAAGGATATGTTGTAGATTAAAATTTGCACCAGCAAAGGGCGTGGTCTCAAGGTCACTTCAAAGTTGACCAAAAATTACATTTTATTAAAATGTTGATATTTTGCTTACTATAAGGACTAGGATCATCAAATCTTGTCAGTTGATGCATCTAAGGACCTCATATCATGTTGACTCAAAAGTAGGTCATGATGACCTACTTTTTAAATTTTGCGGCCATCCTTTTTTCAAAATGATTTAGAGGCATATTTTGAACAATTTAAGGCCTATGATCATCAAACTTTGTCAGTTGATGTATCTTGGGTCCTTGAAGTGTGTCCACTAAAAAGTAGGTCACCTTGACCTACTTTTTGAATTTTATGGCGAATCATTTTCAAAACAATTAAGGTCATTAATTCAAATACTGAGAGGTTTAAAACCATTAAATCTTGTAAGATGAAGCATCTTGGGGCCATAAAAATATTTATTAAAAAGTAGGTCACAGTGACCTACTTTTTGAACTTTGCAGGCATTCAATTTCAAAGCGTTTTAGAGGCATAATTTGGACATTTTAAGGCCTATGATCATAAAACTTTGTAAGTTGATGCATCTTGGGTCCTCAAAAAACGTCAACTGAAAAGTAGGTCACTGTGACCTCAATTTATATGACTATAATTAAATATTTCAGGTACTAATTGGCTTAGAATCATCAAACTTTTTGATGCATCTTGGGTCTTCAGAGTAGGTCGACTGAAAAGTAGGTCACCATGACCTACTTTTGAAAATTTATGGCATTAATTAAATATTTTGGGTACTAATTTGCTTAGAATCATCAAACTTTGCCAGTTGATGCATCTTGGATCCTCAGAGTACAACAACTAAAAAGTAGGTCACCATGACCTACTTTTGAAATTTTATGGCTTTATTTAAATATATCAGGTACTTATTGGCTTAGAATCATCAAACTTTTTCAGTTGCTGCATCTTGGGTCCTCAAAGTATGTCATCTGAAAAGTAGGTCACTGTGACCTACTTTTGAAATTTTATAGTTATAATTTTAAAAATATTTTAGGTATTAAATTGGCTTAGAATCATCAAACTTAGTTGATGCATCTTAGGTCCTCAGAGAATGACAAGTGATAAGTAGGTCACCATGACCAACTCTCAGGTACTAATTGGCTTAGAATCATCTTGGGTTCTCAGAGTGTTTCATCTAAAATGTAGGTCATTATGACCTACCTTTGGAATTTCAAGGCTTTATTTAAATATACAGGATACTTAGAGGCTTCAAATAAAAGTGATAGGTTGTACAGTTTATCAGACGAGCAATTGAAGGCCCTTGGGCCTCTTGTATTTTACTGATATCTTTTCACTGTAAACAAATAGAAACAGATTCTGAGGCAACTTGCTCAAAGGTCAAGATTTTAAATAAAAACACATTACAGGACCCTGTTTGACGGACAATTTTTTAAATGTTGAAAATTTTTAACTGTATGGTATAATATGCTTGCTGTGATCAATTTTTACCTTTTTTTCAGTTCACAGCTCCAGATTCAAGCTCAAAACACATCTTCATGTCATGTGACACTTGACCCAGATGATTTCAAAGAAAACAAGGTCATTAACTGGTAAGTCAATTGCAACCTATACATTCCAGTACTGAATACTTTTGATTTTATGAACCTAAGACAGTAATTGTTAATTCAAATACATTAATCCAGATGAATCTTGTAGCTTTCAAACAACATTTCTGGGATACTCTTTACAATATTAGGCAAAACTTTTACAGAAGTGATCAACTAGTACCCCCGAGTAAATGCATTTAATATTTCTGAATATGATTTCATTTGTTCACATGGTTTTAAAATTTAATTGATCTAAATTATTATCTTGATTATACTATTGCAAATTTTTGAACTTTGAAAAAATGTTCTTTGGAAACTGATAATACTTTTATGAAAACAAACAATCAAAAAACAATTCCAATTGAAAAATGCAAGTAATGAATTTTATAACATTTTGCAGCTTTCATTTTACTGTCCATATGGCACATGATAGCTAAATTAAGTTCTTCATAGACAGTGTCAGTCATGGTATTGTAATGTTGTGTGGCAAATCTTGCCCAGAATAAGCCATTTTCTGGAGAGTATCATTAATGCTGCAATCTGTCTCCCAGTGTAATTACAGAGCTTGTCAAAGACATGGCCTTGATGTACAATACATTCTCTAACCACGGATTTTAACCTCAAATCAACCATTTCTCTTTCTGATGGTATTGATAGCAAATCTCTCTGAATGTGTATTGGAATTCAATACAAAAGCAGCTGTCTGTTTTCATCAGATAGATGAATAACCCCAGAATTGGATTTTGTGAATCTTTTCTACCAATGACATGTTGCATTTACTTCAGTTTCATTTCCACTTTACTTGGATTATTTTTACTTTTTTCCTGAAATTATTGAGAATTTACAGAACAGGCATGTTGTTGCCTGTAGCTGCTAAATTATTAAAGTGGTGTTTCATTTGAAATACATGTATGTTCACAATTCTTGCTCCCTTAAGAATCAGAAATAACATTCTAGAATGTGCATACCTAGTGTATACACTGTAATAAGTTGCTAGGTATAAAATGTTAGAACTTTTTTAACAGTGAAACAATTTAATGATACAGATAATGCCTTTAGGACAGAAGATTATTGATATTACATGCACTCGTATTTTAGTTTGATTTTTTGCAATTACTTTGTTTAGTGTGATTTATTATTGATTACTGAATAGAATAATTTACCCTTTATATAAATATGAAACCTAGCTTTTATCAAATGAATTATTCAGTTATGTTTTTTTTATTTGCAAGTCACCTTACTTAGAATTAGTACAATTGTATTATCTGATTATAACTGCAATCACATTTTATTGGTGAAAATTTTATTTGTGTGTTATTTTAGCAAGATTATTTCAATACAAAGATGAAAATATCATCAATAGAAAAAGCTAGGTAATAACTTTGTGTAGTAATTACATGGATGTCAATGTATGCAAAAATTCTGCCACATGGAAAAGTATGTTCCATATTATTTTCTCAATAATAAGTTTTATGTAGGAATAAATTACAAAAATCTTTAAAATTCTTCCTCTTATCAACAGCAAAAGCATTATTATAGTCACATTGTTATGCAAGTATCCTTTGGTAGTTTAGATTTGATTTTATACAGATCAGGGCCCTCGGAAATCAGAATTTTATAAGATAGTATATTTAGTAAGAAATCTTTTTAAAAGTGGCAAGACCACATTAAATCATATTAAAATGCAAAACATACCTGAGTTATGTAGAATCATTTTTTTTAAATTATGAGCCCTTGGGTAAGGGTTAATGGGCTAAAATCATAGATCCAGATTTGTACACTCCAGAACAACAGAGCTTATTGATCATCTTGATATTGAAGCATCCCAATGTTGTTTTTGTATGATCATCCTTGAATAAATCATAGCTCTCCTAGGGATAGAGTTTGGTCCACAATAGAGTCAAAATTTTTTTTTTTTAAATTAACTGATGAAATGTGCACAATTTCAGTAATATTCAGTGTATGTGGTATTTACATAATAAAGGCACTTTGAAATGAAAAAAAAAGAAAAGAAAAAAGTTGTATATATATATATATATATATATATATATATATATATATATATATATATATATATATATATATATATATATATATATATATATATATTATACATATGATTTTTGTAAGTGTAGTGCACAGTGAATAATTGTATAGAAATTAACTCATCAGTGCTGGTTTTTGCAAGATTCATCCTACATTGTTAATTCACTGTTACATTTTTTGTCTGCATGAATTTGATCAAACTTGGTACAAATGTAATAAAATGATAGTTGGGCCTATCATTTTTCAATTCTGAAACTGATAAATGGTTTTGCAAGCACACAGTAAAACTCTGCAGTTATATTAAGGAAGTCAATTGGATCTCAAACTTCCTTACGACCTAGATTCTTTCTATCAGTATAAAGAACATAGTGAAAAGTCTTTTATGGAATTCATAAATAATACCTTATAACCAACATTTCTTTATAAGCAAGTTCTATATTACCAAATTTTACTGTATTTATAAAAAAAAAATGACTGCATTTCAAAATGCCACCACTATAGCAGTTTTTCATTCATTCTTTTAATCAATTTTTAATTTTCATGAACCTCTATCATTAAATAATATCCCGATAATTTACTTCAAAAGGCTTCTTCTTCCATTAAGCTTCTATCTGATGAGGGGAAAAACCTTGTTTTTTATTTTAATAAATAGTATTGTTGCTTTACAGAAAAAATAATAATAACAAAAAGCAGGCAAAAAAAATCTTGAAATAGATTTACAGAAAATCATGCTTATATATAATGAACACGCTTGTAATAAATTTAAGCTTACAGCAAAGTGATTTTCATTCACCTTAACTTTAAAATATATTGTGATATATTATAATGAATTGCATTTATCATCCATTCCTAGCACTTCATTATAAATGTGTTTTACTGTAAAATCTTTTCCAGTCTGAATGTATGATTTAAAAGAAGGCTTGATCAACACAACAAAATGTTATTAATGGACCTTGAGAGAATATTTTGAAATATAATCATGATAATTTCACCAATGAAAGCCTGAAATATGCTATCTATTAATTTATATGAATTTTTGGCTTTTTCAGAAAAAATGCAGTTTTCAAAAATGAAAGATTATTTTAAGGCTTAAAATATTGCTGTAAATCAATGCGTAATATTATGCCCTGTTCACACAGAGAGTTTATTTCGAATTAAATGTAAGTTACTGCGAATTAAATTTGAACCACGTTCACACGAAGAATTTAATGCGAATTAGTTTAATTCGAATTAGTTCACTGCGCATTAAAATACTTCACATTACCTCTGTGTGAATGCTAATCGAAGCTAATTCGAATTCAATTCTGATGCATGCGTAACGGCAGAATTATGTTACATGCCACATACTGGTGGTCAGATATAGGTATCTGTGCTATTTTTGAGTGAAAAACAAAGGAAAATCATGTTAATCACTAGAATGTGTACAATCAATACATAAGCCTTAGTATCAAATGGATCTGCTATGCTCAATGTGACGTGATTTGCAAATGACGTTATAATAGCCGTACTGAATAGCCTTACTGTAGAAATAAAAATTTAATTCGCATTAGTTTACTTCACATTAGCTGTCGTGTGAACGCAATTTAATTTGCATTACATGTAGTTAAATTCGCATTATTTTACTTTACACTAATTTACTGCAAATTAAACTCTCTATGTGAACAGGACATTAATATCTACTACAACTTAGACTGTCAAGAAGTTAGTTTAATTTTGATCAGGATTGGTTAAAAATTGAAATAATTTCACTTAAATTAACTTTTTTTCATAAATAATTCACAATTTATTATTTTTGGTGGAAACATTTCTGGTTTATTAAATTATAAACAAATAATTAAGTATAGAATTTATTCACTTTCAGCAGTAACAACTGCAGATAAAACGTCAACTTCTTGAAATAATTTGAATATTAAACAAATGGAAAATTATTGTGTATGGTACCCCTTACAGAAAAAAACCAATAGAAACTTATAAGTGTTTTTTACTTTACTTATAAGAAACTGATATGTCACCTATAAGTTTTGAAATTTACTTATAAGTGTACTACATGTATAAGTCAAAGTAAGTATAAGTGAGGAACAGATTTTGTTAATACTTCACTTATAAGTGAAGATTAGCCATGTATCTGTGAATATTTCACTTATACTTCACTTATAAGTGAAGATCAGTATGGTATTAGCCAGAATAAGTGTGGACTTAGAATTTTTACACTATACTAGACTTCTCTTGAGTTGCATTGTGGGTATTCAAGCTAACCAATCAGAAATTTTGTCTCTGCAGAGATAAACAACAAGAATTTGAAACTAAGTTAGTCTCTGTGAAAGGATGTTGTTGGAGATTTCAATTTATTTTGAGTATGCTTTCACATCAGGTTCAACAAGTAGGTTCTATTCACATCATCTTTTTATTTTAACTTCCTTTGCCTGAAATTTTGAATCAATTGACTTAGTTGCTTTCAGATTTCATAAATTTGAAGAAGCCTCAAGGTCATTAAATCTTAACTGAATTCTTTTTGTCCAGCATTTTTGTTTGTAAACTGAAATAATATATAAAGTTTGCATCATCAAAGAATGTCATATGAGAGGGAATTTTTTTTTCATAAAATGTTAACTTGATTATTTCATCTTAGTGCAGATGCATATGTATATGTAAAATAAAAAAAAACTTTGAACATCATGCAACCCCTGCATGATTGGAAGTTCTGTTCTAAATTAAGATCTTCAAGGCAGTGCTGAACTTCACTTATAAGTGTAAGTGACTCATACTTGATAAAGTGTGAAGGGCTAATACTTGACTTATAAGTCACTTATAAGTGACTATACTTGCATAAAGCAAAAGTGGCTAATACTTGGCTTATAAGTCACTTATAAGTCAAGCACCTCATTTGCATATAAAATCCTAATGAGTCACTTATCAGTCACTTATAAGTTAAATGTATCAGTGAAGTATAAGTCCAGTATAAACAACTTATAAGTAAAAGAATAAATCATTTATAAGTCACTTATCAGAAATTTCTGTAAGGGATTGTCGTAACAACATGGTAGGCACTTTTCTTGCAAATAAAACACTTTTGCAGGGCCAAATATGAATATTAAGTATTTGCCCCTGGAGCAGATTGTCTAAATAATATGTTTTTAGCTCACCTGAGCTGAAAACTCAAGTGAACTTTTCTGATTCTTGTCCAGTATCAGTCTGTCAAAAGCTGTCCATCTACAAAGTTTTCATATTTTTGACTTCTAAAAAACCACTGGGTCAATTTTAACCAAAGTTCACACAAAGCACCCTTGAGTAAAGGGATTCCATTTTTTTTTCAAATGAAGGACCAAGTCCCATTCTAAGGGGGGTCAATCAAGAAAAGGCAAAAATAGAATGGTGTCATTAAAAAAATCTTCTCAAGAACCACTGGGCCAGCATAAGTGAAATTTAAGTGAAAGCTTCCTCCTGCAATATTTTTCATACAATGATGCAGGTTGTACTAGTTTAGTCATTCTTTTTTTTTATTTTTAGAATAGATCATGGTATTTTCCATTAATCGTTTAGTTAATGGCTAATGTCTGTGCTCAAGAACAAAATGAGAGATATAATCTCCTAGTACAATCAACACAATGATGTATTGTAGGTTTATAATGTGGGTAATGCATATTTTAAAAAAAATGCTGCATTTTATTGGATAGGATTATACTCAAAAACAGAACAATGAAGATCATTTAATTTTTAATGAGGCAGACATGCAAACAGACAATATCCAAATCCCCTGAGATATTGCATGCAATTGACTGCAGAATGTCACTTCCAGTGAGAGAAATAAACAATATAGGGATGGCATATACTGCTCTTAATATTTATATAGACTTTTCTAATTGTTAGAAATGTATCCCTGTGTTATCTATGTGTTAATTTTGTAAATGACCTTTTATCAAATTTATAACAAAATGAGGGTCGACCATACAGAGGCTCAAGGGGAGTTTTTTTTAATTGATGTGTTACAATAGGCAGTGTTTTGCCACAAGTCTCATATGAATTGGTTTTGTAATATCAAAACTAATACTGTCAGTAGTGAAAAAAATCATTATGTCATTTATTTCCTAGTGTATTGGATTCTCGATACTGAATATAGTCCAATTAATTTATGAAAATGAAAAGGGTTTTCTTTCTTTGCTTTATGATTCAACTTTCAAATGCAGTCAGATCTCAATATCTGGAACTCAGAAAAACTAAAAAATGTTTTAAAAAATTAGTTATCTCTGTATTTAATTGAGATGTCCTAGTTAAAACTCAAGTTCAGGTCAGCTTCAACATATTGTTATGAAAATTGCAAAGAATTTCACACAATGAAAAAAAAAAAAAAAACTTAGTCACCATTACAAAGTATGGTTTTATAAATGAATGTTTATTCAAATGTACAATATTCGATCCTTTGCAGGGAGAATATAATATGGGTGAACCGGCCATTTGCTCTTTGGATTGCTCAAGTCACAGTAGCCATTATCAGTCTACTTGAAACCATTCTTATACAGTACCTCAGTTACAAGGTTCGGGTTTAATTAACATTGATTTCTGTTAAAACATACTGCAACAAGAGATAATCTTGTTGATTTTAGAGGCTTGAAAACATAAAAAAAATTCCTAAAAATGATGAAAATATGATACAGACAGCTAAGTACCAATAGGATTAAAGCATAAAACAAAACCAGGACACATATTGTTATAAAAAATAACTAAAATATTTTTCTTTTTTTCTTTTGCAGGGAAATATATTGCAACAGATTCTGTCTGTAGAGTTTTTATTGGAACTTGTGAATACAGTTCCCTTTGTAGTAACAGTAAGTGACATTGTGTTGTGATGTTTATTCTTGTTTTGAAATTTTTGAAGTCTCACAAAAGACAAGTGTAAGAATTGAAGCATTAGATGAATTGTGCAGTAACCATATCTCTTATTTTTCCTGTCACAGTCTTTCTTTTTGGTTACAGATATTTTGGCCTCCTTTGAGACAGCTTTTTATTCCTGTGTTTTTTAACATCTGGTTAGCTAAGCAGGCCTTAGAAGATATGTTTGTAAGTACCTGGTAGATTGATATAAAAGATTTCATTGATTTTTATCACCTAAAATACCTGGTAGTTGGGTTTTGCCCAAAGGATATAATTTCTCAGTTTTCCAGAATCATCTCTAACAGAATATAAAATTATTTTGCTTAAGCAGTTTTTATCTTATTTTTTTCCCCAAAAAATTTATGCAATGTAGTATTGAGTGATATAGTTTAATAAAAATTAAATAATAGATAACAGAGCTGTTATGTCTGACTACAGGTCAATGTAGATAATGACAAAGCAAAATAACATAGATCATATTTCAAGCTATCTCTCTTAGCAAAATACTTCAGGTGCAAAAGACGTGACATGATTTTTGGACATTAGTGAAATGAATTTTCAATCAGGATATAAGTGAATTGATATTTTCTATAAATGAGTTCTTTGACATGATTCTTGTAATTGTATATCTTTATCTCCAAGGAAATGAAAAGTAGAATTTATCTACTTAAAGACACCTATATCATAACTGACGTAATAGTACCTATAGGATCAATTATTTGTTGAGGATCATAGAGATAATTTCCTCGATAAAACCTAGAAGATTGATAAATTAGAAGACTTTGTTAAGATTGAAAGGAAATATTTGGGTCTGGGGAAATGTTATTGTATTATTATGTTTATTGATTTTATTGAACAGAATGATTTACACCGAGTGATGATGAAGTCACAGTCTGCCTTGTCTCAACAAATCATGATCCTCATAGCTACCATTGTATGCCTTGTCATAACCAGGTAAGATAACTTATTTAGCCATCACTAATAACTAATTAACCACCAGTAGTTACTGATTAACCACAACTAATGATTGTATGCCTTGTCATAACCAGATACAACTAAATAACAATGACTAATTACATGTACTACTTAACCATGACTTATTACTAATTTACCACACCAATGATTGTATGCCTTGCCATAACCAGGGAAGACTACTAATTACCTATTACTTACTCCTAATTAATCATGACTAATTACTAATTAAACACCACTAATGACTGCATGCCTTGTCATAACCAGCTAAGACTACTACCATAAATTAATACTCACTGTCAGCTATTGATTTAAAGGTTCAAGTGAGTTTTTCTGATTAAAGGTGTCCAGTGACTGTCTTCCATCTTGTACTCTCTGTTCTTTGTTGTCACATTTTAATTTATTCTTCAGAATCTAACTGTACCTGTTCCAACAAAACTTTCCAAAAGGGAAGGGGATTTGTGTTTCTTCAAGTGAAAAGCAATACCTCTTTTAAAGGGAGGCAATAAAGAAGTACTGTAGAGAAAATAATAGTGTAGTCATTCAAAATCTTCTTCTCAAGAATCACTGGGATAGAAAAAAATGAGACTTATATAAAAGCTATAACTCAGGGTTATGATTGGGAAACAATAGGATTTCAAATATTTACTTTGAATATATTAAATTGGGTTATGTCATGACCCCTTTGGAATAGGTTTGATGCACAATATGTTGTCAAAATTTTATATGGTAATATATAGGATTAAAATATTTAAAGATCTAAAAAAAACAGTAGTGCCAATGTGACTCAGGTAAGCCTTGTGGCCCATGGGTCTCTCGTTCTGTAACCTGTAATAACCAAATAGTGAGTAGAATTTTCTAATTGGTGATTCAAAATTACTCCTCCCAGTCAACTTATCATGTGCAAACATTGTTGTAAATTAAATTCTATTTATGATTGTAAGATTGAAGTTTTTGTTTTTGTGTTTAGTACGTGCGGCGTGCAGCATCTCCAGCGTGGTGGTAACAGACAGTTTGATCTGTTTGAATCCCTCTGGTTCTCCATGGTGACATTTTCTACTGTCGGATATGGTGACATATACCCTGATATCTGGATCAGCCAGCTCTACATGTTGACTATGATCTTTGCAGCCCTCATTGTTTTCCCCAGACAAGTAAGAACTAAGTAAACATAAAAAATCTATACTTGTAATGCCTAAAAGTTGTAACTGTTTTATTTGTTGTGATCTCTTTGATATGTCTGCAGACAGTTATTGAAGTTTTTTTTTATTTTGATGAGTCATAGAGATTAGTTTGATAATTACATATAGTTATAATCACTGTTTCAAAGTTGCTAAAAAAATTTAAATTTTAGAATAAAATTTAAAACTCAGAATCATCAGATACTTTGATACAATTAGGTGGCCAATATATTTTTGAACATGGAATCTATACTCTATACAAGTATTTTCTATATACTGTACGTTGGCAAATAATCACTATGGTTTTAATTTCACTATGTTCGTGAATCATCATTTTTCCACAAAATTAAACCCATAGTGAATGCTATCATTAGTTTTTAAGAAGGTTTAAATGCTTACCTATACAAAATTTAATTTAATTTCTTTTTGAAAAATCATGAAATTTTAACACCGTGGAATTAAAATGACTTACAGTATGTGGTTACAGGGTAGATATTGATAGCTAGGTTGAAGTTTGATGAATTTTTGATTTTAGAACTTTGGTGAGTCAACACTATAACAGTATACAGTAAAACTCTGTTATAACGAAGTCACTGGGACCTGTGAAATTACTTCACTATATCCATAATTTGTTGTATCCATATAAGGAATTCGGTAAATTTATATAGCTGGGGATCCAGGAAAACTTCGCTATATCCGTGAATTCGCAATATCTGTGTTCGTACTAAGCGAGTTTTACTGTAGGAATCTTGCTGTAGTGATGATAAGTTGAAACATTGAGGATTATGTATTAGTCATTCATTCATATCATCACTTTCCTCTTCATTAACCTTTCCAGTTTACAGTATTTAATATTATGGATACATAAAGATAAAATGTGGACCACCTTCATATGAATCTTAGCACACCTTAGCTGGAGAATCAGTGATTTTTTTTTAGTGATCAAAGTTTGTCCAGCCTTTGTAGATATGTGTGTATGTATGTGATTGTATGCTTTTACATGCATGCTTATCTAGCATAAACTTTTCATCTTGTCAAGAATTACTAGACCATTTTCAACCAAACTTGGCAAATAGTTATTTAAGAAACAATGAAGGAAGGATGGTATATATACAGATCTTCCTCTCATGAATAACTTCCTAGAAAAAAAAGTAATTAGGTGAGATTTTTATATAATTTGCTCAAATTATGCACCCCCCTCCCTTTCCAACTTTCCTTAGTTTGTTGCATTTGTTTGTTTATTCAGGAAAATTGCACATAGAATACAGCATAATTGACACAAAAAATCTAGCATAATTATAAAATACAAGTAAAATTACAGTAGGTTCTTAAAGTCAATAATATTTCATTGGCATAAGGAGTCCTGCTGAATGATATGAGAAATTAACATATTTCCTTAAATATGGTGTTATTAGTTTGTGTGTGTGTGTGTGTGTGTGTGTGTTCTGACTACCGGTAATTAATGCAGTAGAAGTGACTAACAGAAAGTTCATTTTTTTAGCTGGAACACCTAGGTTATACTTGGTTAGAGAGACAGAGACAGGGTGGTGCTTACAGTAATCACCGCGCTCAGACAGAACGCCACGTGGTGGTGTGCACTACCACTCTACAGTCAGACACAGTGCTCGATTTCCTCAATGAATTTTATGCTCATGCCATTTTGCAGGTAAGATTTGGTAAATAACATCTGAAGATTATTTTTTGGATTGAAATGCATATGCTAGATTTCTACTATTCCTTCTCTTTCTTTATTGGAAAATGCTGGTAGAAACAATTTTCACTTACTAATTGATTAGAAAGAACTATAAATATTCATGTATATTTCATCTGCCCCAAATAGGAATCATTATATTTCATGGGGATCATTTTTCCTGGATTTTGAAGGTATACATGTATATCATTATACCCAAAAAATGTACATTCTCAGAAAATATGGAGACTATATAATTAGGCTGAAGATATCCTACATATGGAGATGATCACCCATAAAACTATGTCCCCATGAATTAATATATTTTTGGCAATTAAATCTAAAGATCATAGAAGACAATCTTGCTCTGTCTTCTGTGATTTCATATATCATTGATGATATTCTACACACAATTATGAAAGGTAAAACTCTGGGTAGACATGGACTTGATGTTTCTCAGTCAAAAAGAAGGACATCAGATACCCATTCTACCCTCAAATCAGTGAAATTTATATTTGGATGAAGCAAATTTATTATCAATCGGTCGACAAGTACAGCTCTAACTTTAACCTAGAGCTTAATTTATAGATAGATTATGGGAAGAGAGAGGGATACAAAATACTCATTTCTATCAATTTTTTTTTTGCATTTTCATTTCTCAAGAACAGCACCAAGCCACCTTTTGCTTTATTGGTTTGGCTTATATACAATGTATTTACGGTAATTTTTCTGAAACTAGCAGCTGACTTTATTTTTTCCCCCCAGTATTTTATGTTTATTTTTGTTACATTGTACTAAAAAAAAGTTAAAGATTAAGCATAACAATAAACAAACTTATTCTAGATTGATATATTTAATAAGTCTGGTTTTGAAGTGATACATATTTTTAGCATCACCAACATTTGGATGCATACTTAGGTGAATATTTTTACATCACCGGCAACTGACACTCACTTAGTTAACAAGATTTAGAACCATTTCACACAAATAGGAAACCTCACAATTCCCTCTCTTCTGAAGCCATTAAAGACCTTCTAACAAGTGTTCGCTGTGCATTTAAGTGGAATCTCATTCTTTTTTATTGCCTTTTCACACCATAAACAACAGAAGCAACTGACAAGCAATTGAACTACAAGTCACTTTAGCTGTTTAGATGTTTTTTTGTAACTCCTTTTTATGTCACCTCTTTCATGAATTCAGCATTTTATTATCGTTTAACTAGTGCATCGTTTTAGAATGGAAAGAATGTTTAAAGCAACAGTTACTTTAACGGTAATAGCCAGTAATTATGTACAGCAGAAAAATTTGAAGCTTACTGCCATAAGTTAGCTCTCATAAAACATCTGACCTAAATGTAGGTCAATTGTTGTTAATCTTTATTTTTTGACTTGATGATCATTAATTTGATAACGATGAATAACTTTCTTTGGGGCAATTTATTTATGCATGCATGTTCAAGGCAGTGTTTAAGTGGCCTCATTATCCCATTTTGTTCTATCCTAAACATGTTTATAACTTTGATAGCGTAACGTACACATGCATTTTGTTATAAAACTAAATAAGTAAGCTATTCTAATGTGTTTCAGGATTACTATGTTGTTCTGCTTTCTCCATGTGACCTTGACCCCACAATGAAGGTCCTCCTACAGGTTCCTATTTGGGCTCAGAGGGTCATTTACATCAGGGGATCAGCTCTCAAGGACTCCGACCTCACCAGGGCAAGGTTCTTGTCATTTTATTGATTTCTCAGCAGAATAAAAAAAAAAACTTTTGCCCTTTTCAGCTGAAGGACACAGTAAATTTTTTTTTCAAAATCGTAAGAATAAAGGAATTTATCCAGATTTATTATACTGAGAATTGAATTCCTATCTTCTAAGTTGACCCGTTTAGATTGAATATTCAAACAAGGCCATATATCATATAACCTGAGTAAAACCTGGAAGCTGTGTCTGAAAGACTTGATTTATAGTAGTTGTGGCTATATTGGTTGGGATCAGAATAAAGCTCAGTTTTCAAAATAGGAAAGTTGTGTTTGATGTTATGTCTTTAAACAAAGATCATCAATTCAGTGTTATTTAGATACCCATTTGAGAGTACTTCTTTTGAAAAGCTAAGATTGAAGTTGAATCACCAATTAAGAACTACAAAATTTGATGTTGAATAGAATCACATTGCTTTACACTTTAATAAAGAGAGAGCTTAATATAATGGTTCTATTGACAGAGTACAGGACGCTGAGGCATGTTTTATTCTGGCAGCTAGAAATTATGTTGACAGAGGTGCTTCTGTAAGTACAAAAGAGTTTATGGAGTTTTCATTAAAACAATATGTACATTCTACCTGAAATTTTTTTTATGAATACACAATCTAATTAAAAGTAGACTTATAATTCTCCTACTCTATAATGTGCTGTAATGGCTTGGACCGTGGATATTGGCCTGGGTAGCTCAGTCAGAAGAGCTCCTGACTAGTGATGCAGGGGTCCCGGGTTCAATTCCCGGTCCAGCCATACATTTTCTCTTTTCCTGTTACGGTGCTATGCAGCATTTCATAGAAGATTAGAATTACAAATTTAATTTTCATGTTCCCTTTCAAAAGAAATTGATGTTAGTTTGTACCTGTTGGTCTGTAAGTGGTTGTTTTACAAAGTGCTGTATGCTCAGAATCTTAAATCTTTCATTTTGTTTGAAGACATCAACGGTACACTATTACCCCCTTAAAAGAAGATGAACTCTATTGATTTTGAGATCTCAAGGTCAAAGGTCAAGGGTTAAACTACATTGGACATAAGAAGATATTGTATACTGAATATTTTTAGAACCCTTTACCTGACATACAGTAATCTTGGTACTCCCTAAAAGGTAGATAACCCCTGTTTATATTGGGGTCACAAGGTCAAAGGGCAAGGGACTATGGACTAATCTTAAAGTCTGCTCAGTTATCTTTAAACTCTTTGTTGTTGATGCACATATTGTTTTGTAAGTAAATGATAATACATGTACCTATTTGTATGATTAAATATGTAAATTCTATGTAAAGAATAAAGGATACATTTTTAATTTCCTCGAATTATAATTTTCAGTTTAAGGGCACCATTTTAACTATGATAATTTAAGGTATACACTTTTTTTGTTGGTAGGTCTTGCTTGTCCTATACGTATGATTGTCTGTACTTCTGTTTTAGGATCAACACACCATTCTAAGATCCTGGGCCATCAAAGATTTTGCCCCTCATTGTCCTCAGTATGTGCAAATATTCAGACCAGAAAATAAATTCCATGTCAAATTTGCAGGTTTGAGAATTTTATTTTATTTAAGTAAATTATCTTCCAATGTCTTGGTACCCATTGTTATACATGTATATGGTATGAATTTCAGACAAAGAACACATACAATATAATGCTGACCATGTTTAGATACGTATGGGACTCAAGCATGCTCCTTTCTTGTATGTCAGACGACTTTACATATTTATATCAATAATTCGTATTCTTTCTTATTTTCCTTACTGTCACTACAGTAGAGATGATAAAGAACATCAATATTTCAAACTTCTATTTAAATTCAAGTAAACTGAATAGAGGCATTTTTGTTAATTATTGATCAGTTTTAGGGTTTGAGCTCTGTGATGTTTGTAAAACAGACAGTCATTGATCTTGTTCTAATTATCATTTGAGCGGAACATTGATTATTTTCCCCTTTGTCAAGTTCACTGTTTATTGTGTAAATGACTTCTAGAGAAAAGACATTTTTCTTAATGCTCTTGATACTGGCTGAACAAATGCGAGATTGATTCTGTGACTTCTGCCAAAAGTTCATGTTTAACTTTTCTGCAACAGCGATTTTATTCTGCTAATGAGATTATTTTGGTTTTGTTTTTTTTTTGCCCCCCCCTCCTTCAAATAAGCTAAAAGCCTCTGTCTTTGGGGTTCAGTTGCAATATTTTGTGCATCTTACAATAACAAAGTGGCAAATATAGCAACTTTTTTTTCAACTGATCAGATATTTAATATCATTTACTTTAAATCAATAGGTTACAGTTTTTTTTACCCAAATAAAAAGTGTTATTGGTAGCATAAAGAATTGAAGGAAATATATATATTGGAAAACGATTACTAGGATATGCTCCAAATCATGTGCCTTTGTAATTAGGGATTTCGTAATTATGCATGACCCATACTGATAAGTGGTACACTAGAGATTTTATCTGTCCAGAGACAATTAGCTTCCTGGTACAATCTTTTGTGTAGAGAAATGGTGTCTTTAAATGTTGGTTAGAATTACAATTTTCTGAAGGTAACTATATTGATTTCTTTGTTTCACAGAGCATGTGGTTTGTGAGGATGAATTTAAATATGCTTTACTTGCCAACAACTGTCTATGTCCAGCTACCTCTACATTAGTTACTCTGCTACTCCACACCTCTAGGGGACAGTAAGTCTGATTGGTTATAAATTACAGCAAGTAAACTGTATAGTCATTGGTCAAAAATGAGAAGATAATGAAATAAAAATCTGATTGGTTAAAATGACTGCAGAAAGATCTCATATGAAGTGTATCAAGAAGATACTGAAATCTAATTGGATAAAATCTCATGTACAGTGTATCACTTCAAAGTGAGGACATGAAAGGAACATGTGAATTTAATTTGTACATATGTTGAAACATCTAGATACAAAGGTTAAAGACCACCACAAACTTTTCTGACCAATAAAATAACTTTCAACTTTCAGAAAGGTGTATCTGATTTGACTGTTTCATTTGAAAGCAAACTGGCACATTCTGCATGTAAAGCAAATAGGTGTCTTTGAAAATTAATGCCAAATTCTTTCACAAAACAGTGCATTATAATGATTGGTTTTGGTATTGATTTTGTAATCTTTGAATTCTGTTGACAGAGAAGGACAACAGTCTTCTGAAGAATGGCAGAAATTGTACGGAAAATGTTCAGGAAATGAAATCTACCACATCAAACTTGGTGAAAGCAAGTTCTTCAAGGAATATGAAGGAAAAAGCTTTACATATGCATCATTTCATGCTCACAGAAGGTGATTGCTAAGCCTTGTTGATTACTTGGAATTAGTATCAGCATTTCACTTAAAAGTGCATTAGTAATTACAGTCTTAACAATCATTGCCAACATAAAGTATTCTACTATCGAAAATATTTCCCCTTAAAGTACCAATGTGTAAATGGGTCATATAATTTGACTATCAGTCTTGCCTGAAACTGTATGAAGTTAATTCCTTGGACAAATATTGTCTTAGTGAGTCAGTAATATGGTTGAAAGTTGAAATCCTTTCTTTGTTGTGTAGATTCATATTTGATGATATTCATTGTGTTCTTGGACATCAATCTTCAACTTTTTACAAGTTGACACAACTTCAAAATGATATTGGATTTGACTAGTTCACTGCAATTAAACATCTCTGCTTTAATATTTAACTTACATTGAATTTTTTAGCTGTGTTTGCATGACTCACTTCATTAATATTTTTTAGATTTGGGGTCAGTTTAGTGGGAGTTGACCAGAACATCCAAGACTCCACTATCCAGCTGAACCCCGGCCCCCGACACATCATGAAGACATCCGACATCTGTTTCTACATGAACATCACCAAGGAGGAAAATACGAGGACATTTAATCTGGCCCACCCTCAGGAGGGAGGACAGAAACTTGACCAGCAGAATCTCCCCACAGGGACTCAACAGGCCTCTAGGGTGGCTAGCATGATTGCCAGTGTGGGTAGGTGTATAGTACTACTACATTAAACTTTGTGGTACACTGTAGAGAGATTTATTGTTGTTGTAAAGTACTGTTAGAAATAAAGACTAACATGAATGAAATATTACAGTGTAGAATATAGTGTAGAGGAATGATTACTGTTGTATATATCTTGATACAATCACATCAAAGTCCGTTAACTCTTCTGCTTCCGCATTCTGAGATATTCATCATCATTAACTTTTTAATTAAAGTATGACATTCCTGATATAAATTCACACAATATAATTCTCCTCTTGTTTAATCTAAGGTGAAGGTTTTGATGATTTTGAGCCAGGTTTGTATTTCTATCAGATTTTGAAAGTTTTTATCTCACAGTTTTTCTCTGATATATTTCCATTCACTTCTCCTATCATGTGAAATCCTTGACAAAGATAGTCTAAATGAAAATTATTATAATAAAAGATAGTCTAGATGAAAATTATTATAATAAAAGATAGTCTAGATGAAAATTATTATAATAATCTTCCTTGATGGAACATGGGGAAAAAAGCAAAAAAACGATATATATATATATATATATATATATATATATATATATATATATATATATATATATATATATATGTTAATTTACTATCTGTTTTAAACTGTTCTTAAAATTTGCTTCAAGTTTTTCTAGTATGAAAAGCCACTTTATTATAAAGTTCATTTCTAACAATTGTTAATGATGGAGTGTCATTCACTTCTGACACCAAAATATCATTGCTTTAAGGGATTTCTTGTGATATTTCACCTGTGTTTAATTTACAATTTATTGTATGAAGATTTTCGATCCTTACTTTGTATGATTCCTGAGAACCGCGCTGGAACAAAAATACTAGGTGATTAATCATTCTACCGAATTTTTCCTTATGTTGACTGTTAAGGGGATATATCTTCCTACCTCAATTCCATGAATCAGATCTTAGTATGGAAATTTTGGTGTTTTTATTCAAGTAATTCTTTGTATGTAACCTATAGTATTGTATTTTTACAAAACAAATATATAGTATACAACTACATATATGAATATGTAAATATAGAACAGCATTTTTAACTTTTTAATCAACCATTACATTCAATCAGCAAAACACTTCATAGAGGGAGGGAATCTTACAAAATTCCCCATAATGTTTCAAAATACAATGTCAGAATGTATTCATATACATGTGAAAGGTGTGCAGACAAGATGAGATTATATTCCCTGGTTTAGTCCATACCCAGTGTTTGTTTTTGTTTTTTTTAATAGTCCATGTTGGTGTTTATAAACATTTGAAATATTTTTAGTTTATCCAGTGGCACATTAATGTCCTCTCACTCACTGGAATACAAAGGATAGGTTTTTCAGATAAATATGTGGACATTTCAGTGTATTATTTTTTTCTTTTAAAAAAACAAGATACAACATTTTGATTTTTGGTCATTAGAATTTTATTTTTGAAAAGGAAAAATTACTTTTTTGGGGGGAGGGGGGATTTCACTAAAACATTTAGATATGTAAATTGGTAATACACATTTGTCTTATTTTTTAAAGATCATGTTCTGAATTTTTTAAAGATTTTTTATGCACTTGAAATCTGTGTTCTTTGAATGACTTTCTATCTGTATAATTTCTCTAAAAATTTCATTTAGAAGCTGAGAAAGAGAGATGTTTTTACTCCAGATAATAAAATCTTTTGCATTTTCTTTTCATCAGATTGTAATTTCAATACACACAGTTTTTTAATAAAGTTCTTTTCACCATTTTTACAGCTTGAATCTTCTCTCTGTAATTTGACTCAAAGTATATTATGGTTTTCTTTATATAACCACTAATAAATAAGAAAAGTTTTGGTTGAATATTAATTTGCTGTGCTTTGTGTTTTGATTAAAAGCATGCTTTTCATATTGGCATATCAATTTGCTTTTTAAGATGACTCAAAGTTCAGAGGGTAGTTCATATGTCTCAGTTGAATGTACATGTATTATGCCTTTGAAAGGTTTAATATACAGATGAACTTTAAAATCTCGAACATCAATAGCTCTAAAAACCCTTGATATGTCTAAGTGATTTTAAAGTCTCAATCAACCACTTTCCTGTATGTATTTTTAACCTCGATATCTCAAATTCTTGGATATCTTAGATGCTTTATCTTGGCTTTATCTATTGAGTTCGAAATAACATGTACATGTAGTTTTACACAAAGTATATAATTAAAAGCTTAATTAATAAATGAATATGATATTTTGTATGGTAAAGAAATTATCATGTATTTAGATTCTTATAGATGAATTATGGTATAAAATAGTAAAGAGAAAGGTAAAAGAGTTTGTCAAGTAAAACAAATGATATGAAAAAAAATATATATTTCTGTAGCTAAAAAGATACCCCAATTGAAAATCCATGATGGATCAGAAACCACAGAGTCATTCAGTAACACATCTAAAACAAAATGTACTGTATATCCCTGGCAATGAATCTTTTTCAATGTGACATGCTTCATAAAAATTGAAAATTAGAATATCATTATAAATTGATTTTTTTTTTAACATGTTAAATTGATTTACCTTTTTTAACACCCAAGGTAACTTTTTTTAAAGGAACTGTAGCCCTAGAATTACAACACACAAGAGTAGCTACCTCAGACTCCAACAAGTCCCTAAGTTCCCCATCAGGTGTGAAACGCCCCTCCCACCTAGAACTTCCAAAAGGCTTGAACATTCAGAGTCTTCAGAAACGTCCCAGCATTGCCCCCGTCCCAGCATTCCTAGAGGCTAACGATATCCGGATCCAACTGAACTCAGATATAGAGTCAGAAGAGGAGGAAGAAATTCCATCCATGGATTCGGATGATACTGGATTTGAGTAAGTCATCCATCTTAATTTAATATCCAGTTACAGCAATCCATGTCAAACATTTAAGGGGGTTAAAAAAAAATTTCATAGTTTTAAATCAAGTAATTGTGTTGTTTACATTATTTTCATGTATTTCATTGATGATTAGTGCCTTTTAGCAAGAAGTTTTATGTTAATGTTGTGAATCCTAATTTATGGGTAGAGTTATGTTTCTGTGTATTAAAATGGATTTTAAACAAATATCAAAAATAGTATTCACAATGACATTCAGATATGTTCGAGGATTTCCACCTGTAACTCCATACATTGGTACCTCTCCAACTCTATGTCACCTCATGAAGGAAAAGAGGCCCCAGTGTTGTCTTAAACTTGCCACAGTAAGAAATGCTTAAAGTACTGTCATACTTATATACAGTTAATGATATGTAAAGAAACAGAGAGAATAGAAAAAAATAGAGAAACAAATAAATAAAGATTGCCGTTAACTTTCAATTTTTTATTCAGGAATGTGAACATTGCTTCCATAAGAATGCTAAGGAATACCAGTTTCCAAACAGAGCCATTATTGTGTGTGCTGACTATGCCAGCAGTGGACTTTACAACTTTATTGTGCCGCTCCGATCTCATGCTCGCCCCAGAGCTTCACTCAATCCTATTGTCCTACTGTTAGAGAGAGAGTAAGTCATTATAGTACAACTACTGTTAGAGAGAGAGAGTAAGTTCATATAGTACAACTAGGCTACTGTTAGAGAGAGTAAGTTCTTATAGTACAACTACTGTTAGAGAGAGAGTAAGTTCTTATAGTACAACTAGGCTACTGTTAGAGAGAGAGTAAGTTCTTATAGTACAACTAGGCTACTGTTAGAGAGAGAGTAAGTTCTTATAGTACAACTACTCTGAGAGAGAGAAAGAGAGAGAGAGTAAGTCATTATAGTACAACTGCTGTTAGAGAGAGAGTAAGTTCTTATAGTACAACTAGGCTACTGTTAGAGAGAGAGTAAGTTCTTATAGTACACCTACTGTTAGAGAAAGACTAAGTTCTTATAGTACAACTAGGCTACTGTTAGAGAGTAAGTTCTTATAGTACAACTACTCTGAGAGAAAGAGAGAGAGAGAATAAGTCATTATAGTACAACTACTGTTAGAGAGAGAGAGTAAGTTCTTATAGTACAACTAGGCTACTGTTAGAGAGAGAGTAAGTTCTTATAGTACAACTACTCTGAGAGAAAGAGAGAGAGAGAATAAGTCATTATAGTACAACTACTGTTAGAGAGAGAGAGTAAGTTCTTATAGTACAACTAGGCTACTGTTAGAGAGAGTAAGTTCTTATAGTACACCTACTGTTAGAGAGAGAGTAAGTTCTTATAGTACAACTACTGTTAGAGAGAGAGTAAGTTCTTATAGTACACCTACTGTTAGAGAAAGACTAAGTTCTTATAGTACAACTAGGCTACTGTTAGAGAGTAAGTTCTTATAGTACAACTACTCTGAGAGAAAGAGAGAGAGAGTAAGTCATTATAGTACAACTACTGTTAGAGAGAGAGAGTAAGTTCTTATAGTACAACTAGGCTACTGTTAGAGAGAGAGTAAGTTCTTATAGTACAACTACTCTGAGAGAAAGAGAGAGAGGGAGTAAGTCATTATAGTACAACTACTGTTAGAGAGAGAGAGTAAGTTCTTATAGTACAACTAGGCTACTGTTAGAGAGAGTAAGTTCTTATAGTACAACTCCTGTTAGAGAGAGAGAGTTTGTTCATATAGTACAACATGTAAGAGAGAGAATAAGTCATTATAGTACACTCACTGTGAGAGAGAGAGAGTAAGTTCTTATAGTACACATACTGTTAGAGAGAGAGTAAGTTCTTATAAGAGAGAGAGAGAGTAAGTCATTATAGTACAACTACTGTTAGAGAGAGAGAGTAAGTTCTTATAGTACAACTAGGCTACTGTTAGAGAGAGTAAGTTCTTATAGTACAACTCCTGTTAGAGAGAGAGAGTTTGTTCATATAGTACAACATGTAAGAGAGAGAATAAGTCATTATAGTACACTCACTGTGAGAGAGAGAGAGTAAGTTCTTATAGTACACATACTGTTAGAGAGAGAGTAAGTTCTTATAGTACATCTACTGTGAGAGAGAGAGAGAGAGAGAGAGTAAGTCATTATAGTACACTTATTGTTATAGAGAGAGTATGTCATTACATTAAACCTTCATTCAGAGAGCAAGTAAGTCAAATTAGTTGACTTACTGTTAGAAAGAGAAATAAGTTCTTATATAACACCTACTGATAGAAAGAGACTTAGTTCTTCTTAGTACAAAAATTAACTTTGTTTTAAGTCCACTTTCATTGGTACAGAGATTTTTTGTCAAATACAAGCTAGATGGTAAAATCGAGACATATTCAAGTATTGGGAGAAAATTTGAAGTCAGAAAATTTGCAAAGAATATTGTTTGTATTTGGCACATCATTGGAAAACTGACATGTTTATTCAGAAAATCATGCTGTGACAATATATAAAATCAGAGATTTTTTTTAGCAAATCATATTAAATTGACTCAACTGCTTAATTTGATAGTATGTGTACATGCATCAAATTATTTTTATCGTACCTTACTTGTGTAATTATTATTAAGGGTTTAATAACCCAAGTTAAAATTTTTGTTTCACTTGAGCCTGTGAAGTAAAAATCAGGACTTTTATCAGTATCCTAATTTTTGTTTTGTAGACCTGATTCCACATTTTTAGAGACAATCTGTCATTTCCCAATGGTTTATTGGATGATTGGATCTATAGAATGGTAATTGTATTTTAACACAGTATTGATTCCAAATTTATTTGTTCCTCTGAGCTGAAGGCCCGAGGTTTTCTGATCATGTCTGTCATTGTCATTGTTGTCGGTCTTAAACATTACACAATTTCATCTTCTTCAAAATCATCACTCTATAACTGCTTTTTTTAACCAAACTTGGCACCAAGTTTCATTTGTGATTCAATTGTGTTCAATTAAAGGGCCACAATCTTTTCAAGGGGAGATAATCAGGAAAAGGCAAAAATAGGGTGGGTGTCATAAAAAACCTTCAAAACAACCACAGGGCCAAAAAGATAAAACTTACGTGAAAGCTACCTGATATAATATAGATTCAAGTTCAAATCATGACCCCCCAGGGGTAGGGTAGGGCCACAGTAGAGGATCAAAGGTTTACATGGAAATATTAAACAAATATTAATTACAGTTGAGGCAACATTGATTATGTTAGCCCCAAGGGATGAAATATTGCCAGACACAGAGCAGAGGGCAATATTTTCATCTGAAGGGGGGTAACATAATCAATGTTGTCCAAAAACGCAGTCAATAATTGTTTTGTTAAATAAAAAAAAAACAAATCAATAAAATAGTATTTCATTGAACTCATGTGTATCCCATGCATTATCTACATGTTTGACTGTAGTGGTAGGAAATTTTGAAGCTGTCATTATTGTGTTACCTGTTTTCTTTTTTTTTTTTATCGTGACGTGTTTTTCTTAAGTCACGACGGTTTCATTACATCACAATAAATCAATAGTCTCTATATTCTCTATATAGAGAAACAGTTCAATATAATTCATGTTAGCAGTACTGCACTGTAGATTTAAGGTTGATCAAATCGTGGCCCAAAGATAGGGTGGGGCCAATGTTCTGAAGAACAGCAGGGTCAAGGTGACTCAGGTGAGCGTTGTGGCTCATGGTCCTCTTGTTTTGTAGCAATGCCTAGACATATAACTCCTTTTTGTCATGTAGGAAATTTTTCTGTTTTGCATGCAAATTGATTTAAGTTATTGTATATGTAAACTGAACAAGCAACGACCTTAGCCTGAATTATTTGCTGTAAAGATTTTTCTTTATTTCTTGTTGCATTGTACGTGTATGTTGTATTTCAACAGTGAAGGAAGTCAGATTAAAAGGTGCTGTATTGTTTTTCATGTGTGTTCCAGAACATGTACAAACATCACAATTCTAAAACACCAGTGCTCATAAATCATATACTGCATTTTGCACCATCATATGGATTTTTTTTTTTAAATATGTGTATTCATATTCCTTAGAGTAAATATTGAGGTGTACAGAAATGTATGATACTTTATGTCATATCCTAATCTATGGGTTTATATGACATGGGAATGGTTTATAAATTCTTGCACAACACCAAGTTAAAATCACACAGCACCATTGCATAATTATATAAAATGCAGAAAAACCACATGACTTCGTTTTAGGTTATGTTAGTCCTTATTTCATGACTCAGTTATATATAGTTATTGTTTGCCCTATTACACAAACTTGAAGATAAGATGTCAGCAAATTTTTAAGAAAGTGAAATATATTGCTATCAGGAAGAAAAACATATTACAGTATAACTCGAATATAGAAGTCCTGTGAAGTTATCGGTTAAATCCGTAATTCGTTTTATCCATGAAGTGAATTCCTTAAAGCTCATATAGCAAATCATGTAATATACATGTTTTCCAGCAAGTATGACTACCAAATATGTTTAGAGAAGTATTAAACACAAAACTTTCCTTAGATTATTAAAGTTTTCTGATGAATTGAATTTTAAATAAGAAAACTTATGAAAAAATAATTTTCACTACCATTTTTTTTTTTAATTTTGACATCTTTAAAAATTTGTTGTAAATGATGTAAATTTTGTTATTTTAACCTTTACGTGTCACAAAATTAGTTCGCTCAATTCATAAATTTGTTATATCAGAGTTTGTTACAACCATAAAATTTTTCAAGGATTTGTTAAGAACTTTTTCTGGGGATCCTATAAAACTTTCCTATATCTGTAAATTTGCAGTATCCGTGTTTGTACTAGCTAAATGAGTTTTACTGTACATGTATTTATTTCATTTTTGCTATCAGGATTGACAGAAAACTTTTTTTTCAACAGTATTGATGATTTACTGCGAGCTGGCATCAATTTGGTTGATAACATCGTTATTGTCAACAAAGAGTCCTCAAATTCTGCTGAGGAGGAAACTCTGGCAGACTGTAACACAATTGTAGCTGTCCAAACTATATTTAGGTGAGCTTGTACTTTTTTCCTTTCATTTGGTTATATTAATTTTCAATAACATAGTATGCAGGTTGACCAAAAAAACAAGCATTCTGAGAGTATTGCATTAGCAATACTAGTCCCCTACCGGCAAGTGTAATCTGGTTTCCCTTTAAGAATTGAAAATGCCATAATTCTGTCAAAAATTAATGAAGCGGGACGAAATGCAAACTTGATCTATAACTAATCAAGGTAAATTCATATACCAAAAATCAGCTCAATATATGAAAGCGTTTAGAAGGAAATTGCGGAAAACCCGTAAAAATTGAAAAGGCCGTAATTCCGTCAAAAATCAATGAAGCGGAACGAAATGCAAACTTGATCTGTAACTCATCAAGATACACTCACATACCAAAAATCAGCTCAATATCTGCAAGCGTTTAGGAAAAAAATGCGGAAAACCAAGTGGGACAGACAGACAGAGGGACAGACGGATAGACAGACGGACGGATAGACTCAGAGGAAACCTATAGTCCCCTCCGGTTTCACTGGTAGGGGACTAAAAAGGGAAGGGGGTGGTGGTAATAAATCGGATTCATTGCTAGAAATGTCCATCAGCTAGACTCTGTGTAGTCCTAGCAAGTTCTTAACAGAAGAGCTATTCATTGTCTTTATGTAGTTTAATCTCCAGTACTATATAATCCTTACTTTTAAATGCTTTGCCTTTTGTCCAGACTGTTTCCCAGTGCTAACATAATCACAGAGCTTTCTCAGACTTCCAACATGCGCTTCATGCAGTTCAGGGCCAACGACTCCTACGCTTACTCACTTGCCAAATTGGAAAAGGTATTACATTTAACTTCATGAGTAAAATCTAAGTAGTTCTTTTCATCAGATTTATCAAAGTTTCCATTCTTGTTTTATTAAATACAAAATTGTAATTACATTTTAACTTTAGTATCTTGAACACTGATATCTTGAACACCATGGATATATTTTGGGGTGTTTTGGAGGTCCTAACCACTTATTCTTTATGTATTTTACCCTTGATATCTCAAATCCTCAGATATCTCGAAGTGTTTTCTCAGTCCCATTGAGTTTGAGATAATAAAGTTTGACTGCATATGTCATACAGATATTGTACAAGCAATGCATATTTATATGTAAAAATTGAGATTATTTATTTTGAACAGGATTTTTTTGTTTACATAAATTGAAAGGACACCCTTTGTTATAAAAGCATACTTACTGAAAAGCCCATTTTTTCCACAGGAACTTTAGCTGATTATTTATATTTTTTCTAAGTCTTTTATGATGAGTGCATATTAATGAGGTATGCACATTAATCTGTTTATTTAACATTGTAGAAAGAGAGGACAAGGGGCTCCCATATTAGCTATATGTTTAGGTTACCCTTTGCTGCTGGTAATGTGTTTAGTGCCAGCATGCTGGATACACTACTTTATCAGGTAAAATTTAGTGTATTTAAATTGACATTTAATGCATTATTTGAAGGATTCTTATTTTCATGTAAAACTTTTTGAATTTTGAACATGTAAAATGGATAGATAAAATATTTAGGCATTATATTGATATTTGTGTATTTTGTAAACAAATGAATTTTCTGTATAAATGACAACTCTATCTATATATGAGAGGAAGTGTTAATTTTTGTCATAACTCTATTAACTTTTCTATTTTTTTGCAGGCTTACCTGAAGCCATACTTGATCACATTTGTTCGACTTTTACTGGGCATAGATCAGGCAGTTGGTTCAGGACATTTATCTTGTGTGAGTTTCATGGTTACTGATGTGAAAATTTTCGACAAATATCAGAAAATGTAATTTTTATTAAGGCATTCTCCATACAAGACTCATAGTTGAAATTATCCAATGGATGGACAGATAGATAGACAAAGCAAGGTTTTTTTGGTATATTCTGCCATCAAAGATAATGTACTTCAGATAATTATCATAACTGTCCATATTTCACACACTTCAATGATTGTAAGGAGTAATTATATAAACCCTTGTTGAACAAGTGAGATATTTAATAATAGACAAATTCTTTATTTATAATTAATGTTTAATTTTGCAGATGAAAATAAAAAAGGAGGACCTATGGATTCGGACATATGGTCGTCTCTATCAGAAACTTTGCTCAACGACATGTGAAATTCCTATTGGTATTTATAGAACAACTATACAGCCCCGCAGTGCTCCAGTGACAGTGGAGTCACACGGTCCTGGGAGTACAGTACGTATTACAGGAGTGGTGTCCCTTAGATCAGTGTTTTGTCTTTATAAGACTGAGTTTGAATAGCATGTGTCACTATAAGTTTGCATGTCGTTTTCATGATTTCAAATTTATGTAATTAGTATCTATGTATATAAGTTTATTTAAGTAAGTGTACAAGGTTTTCTGTAAACAATAAGATGAGATACAATGATTTAGATCTCCTTGGAAACAGTAAAATTCATTTTATATTGTAGATTATATCATGATAATAATTAACTTCACTCATTTTTCCAATTCACATCATATAAACTAAGCAGACACTATTCTCGATGGAATAGAAACACAATACAGTAAAACACACTTATAACCCAACACACTTATAATGAAGAAGTGATTTTCATCTTTTGGCATTAAAGTATAGTGTAAACTTAACAGATATAACGAAATATTTTGATAATGAAACAAAATAATCTGTTCCAGACACTTTGCTATACGTGTGTTTTACTGTAGCTGTTTGTGTGTGTGGTTGTTATATAATCTGAATAGTTAATAACTTACTTAGAGAGTGTGAGTTTGTTAATAATTTAGCAATATCTAAGACAATTTAACTTTAGGGATGAATTATTTTTTGCTTCCTATAGGCTCCACGAGATCAGTCTGCTCTGAACCTAGCCTTTAGAAATTCTGTTGTAAGTAACCTAAAGCTTTTACTTGCAGAAGTCACTATTAATTCATGGTTTGTGTGTGTGTGTGTGTGTGTGTATTTGAGAGTTTTTCTGTTGTTTATAATTGTTTTTCCATATCTTTCCTACCAGTAGAATCCCTTCATCTAGAATATTTCCACGTAGAGCTTTTCCTTTTCTTTGTGTAAAATATTTGTTCCTATCAAGCTGTAAGATTTCTGTTTATTTGTTTGCGATTAGGGATCTAGGGTTATATATATCTTGATATGAAATTTCGGATGCTAGAGGTGTTTGATATATAAAGTAGAGCATCGTAAACTGTGAAGTGAGACTATGGTTAAAATATCTTCTGGTTGTATTTAATATAGCTCCTTGTTTAAGACCCCGCAAGCATTTGCAAATGTCCTATTGTAAATAATTAATCTGTCTGTCAAACCATTTGTCCAAAGACTTTCTTTTCTTTATGAAAAAGTATAAAGATATGAATTTCATTTTATATCATAGAATATAAATAATATAAAAGTGCCAACTGTCCTTGTTTAATTTCAAGTCACAATCTCATCTATCCAAACTTTCAAGTCCCATCCTTATATGTATACGCATAGGGCACTTGCTGACTGGTCAGTTTCCTAGTTCAATATACCCCCTGTAAACAAAGTTTGGGCCTTGTTCTGTTAGTCCTTTTGTCCATCTGTCTGTGCAATCTTGTCAGGGCAATAACTTTGGAATAGAGAATTGTTTGAAGTTCATACTTGGTACAAAGATTGTTTATGATCTAAAGATGTAACATATACTTGACCCAGGGTCATTGCCACAAGTTCAGGGTTACTGGCAGTAAAAAGTATAAAATTTATTCAGATACAGAAAAATGTCTAATTCTTGCCCTGACCATATCTTGTAATGGCAAACATTAGAGGCTCATACTTATCACAGATATTGCATTATATGATCTGAGGATGTGTATTGACCATAACCCAAGGTCATTCTAGCAAGTTCAAGGTCCTTGGCAAAAAAGTGTTTTATTTGTGTCCTATCTATAACTTTCAAACAGAGACTTATTGAAAGTTGATACCGGTACTTGAAAGAAAGATTGTTTATGACTTCAGGGTGCATCATGATCTAACCCAAGGTCATTTTGACAAATTCAAGGTCACTGGCAGAAAAACATGTTAAATTCATGTCTGGTCTATAACTTTCTAGTGGATACACACTTCATACATATATCATTTAGTCTTGAAGCTGTGTCATGACCTTGATCTAAGGTCATTCGTCAGGTTTAAGGACACTGGCAGAAAAAGTGTAATAACTTTTTTATTGAAGGTGAAACTTCCAAAGATTATTTGTGAGCTAAAAGTTTGTTGTAGCCTTGACCCAATGTCATTGTGGCAAGATAAGTCACTGGCAGGAAAACAAAATGTAAAATTCATATAAGATGCATAATTCTCTTATAAGGAAACATTGAATCTCCATATTTTAATTTTACAAGAGATTACCTATGTCCAGAGGATGTGTTTTTGTTTATCCAATGTCATTTTGGCAAGTTCAAGGTCACATTTACAAAATTGTGAATAGGTACTGTAACAAATTACAGCAGGGGGTATAATTTGTGAGTTCATTCAAAATACCTCATGTTTAATGTTGAGAATACCATTGTAAACAGAATAATGTAATGTATATGTTTTTGATGAATGTCCAGAATATTGTTGTAAACAGAACCATGTCTATATATGTGTTTCTATACTTTTTCCTTGCTATTGCTTTTGACAGATCAGAAGAAAGCCGAACCCTTCCCAAGACAAGAATGAAAAAGATGTACGCAATGTTTATTCTCTCTCTAAATGTACTTTCAATACTGAGTGTAATACCTATAAAAGTTTAAGAATACTCTTCATGCATGTAATGTTGCAAAACCATTGTAAAAATGTGTTGTGCTTCCAGTTTTACATTTTAAGCAAAATGACTCATAGGATAATACTATACTGATAAAGAGGTGGATGGGTACAAAATTTCATCAACCATACAGTATGTAATATAAAAAAAATCATGTTTGAAAAATCAGTGTTTTAGCCCTGTTTTCTGGTTATTAGGTGAACCTAAGTGTAATGGGAATAGAGGTGGACAATAACAACCAGATGACCCCTGAGAGGCATGAGATCAGTCAGATGGTCAAGTGTCGCATGCACAGCCTAGGTCAACCAACCAAAGATTATGGTCAGTGTGTTTAGTGTTTCCATTCCAATCCTTTTACCATACTATTTGTATGAAGATGTTGACATATGGGCCTATGTTAAGATGACTCTGACATATTCTGATTGGTAAAACAATGTAAAATATGAAAGTGCTATAAATGCAACAAATGTTGATGGAACAAAAATTGAATTTTAGTCAATTACATGTATTTAATTTGTATGCACATGAAAAGCAGAAGTAATCCTCCAAAAAATAATGTGAAAGTTAAACCTGGAGTAGAAATATTCCGAGGCCTAAGAGTATGAAGTTTTGTTAACATTGTGATTCTGATGCTTCAACAAAATTAAATCCCTCATTTGAGCTTCAAACAGGTTGATTTGGTGGTGTGATCTGTGAAGCTATAAAAAGATAACTAGGAAGTGGAATGTGATCTGTGACATAAATCTGAAATATTTCTGTTGATGGTGTGATTCCATGTTAATATTGTGTATTGTAGATGAAGTGAATGACAAGAGGAATACAATCTCCTATGTGATTATCAACCCTAGTTATGACCAGAAACTACAGCTGGACGATGTCATGTAAGTCAAGGAATTAGCTGAGTGCATTGAAGTTACTCCACATACTGTATACCGGGTTATTTTCGCCCCTTGTTATTTTCACCCTTTTACATTTGCAAGTAATTTTTCCCCATTTTAAATTTGCCCATTCACAGTTTGGATTAAAAAATTATGCTGTGTTCTTTGAATTTGCCCCGTTTTAAATTTGCCCAACTGAGAGAAGGGCAAAAGGGGTGAAAATAAAACGGATGCAAAAATTTCCCTGTATACAGTTTATATTTAAGGAAATCTTATGAGCTTTTAATTTTTAATGTTATGAAACTCAAAATTATTTTAAAAGTATTGCATAATCAGTTTGCAAATTTTTGCAACTGTATTTTATGCTTCTTAGATTATTTTATAGTAAGAAGTAAAATAATAAGAACTATTTTTAAAAAAATTCATAACAGATACTTGATTAGACCAAGCTCATTATCCCCACAACCTTCACCCCTTATTGACGAGAGAAAATCCCCTCACATCAAGAAAACCATGAAGAAACGTGAAGAACCAACAGGGGCAGATAATCCTGACAATGAATCCAAGTGTCAAAGAGACTGTTCAAATCTGCCTCATGAAGGGCGGTTTGGCAAAGCTAAAAGTTTATCAACCCTGGAACAAAAAGCAGATGTGTTGTGTGATATAAGGAAAAGCAAGACTTTCTCACCAGATGAATTGAGAGTGGTAAGAATCTATAATGGTTTGGGCCGTGGATATCGGCCTCTGCAGCTCAATTGTTAGAGCACCTGACAAATGATGCAAGAGTCCCAGGTTCAATTCCTGGTCCAGCCATACATTTTCTCCTTTCCTGTTGCAAATCATCATTATGATTCCTGTCACAAAATTGTAACAAGCATATATTGAGACCAGCTTATTTGTGGTATCAAAATATTATTGTTTGTTTTAAAAACTTTAATATGGTCTAGTATTTACCTTGAATTACTTTAACCCTATTAAATCTAGTATTGTGATGGGACAAACTAAAATATTTGCCAATGAAGAGGCAAATAATTGTATTGTCCAAATTAAGTGTTTAATGCCTTCCAATATTCGAGAAAAAATAACTTTTCACTTGATGTGATAATGCAGCATGATTTTTGACTGAAAAAAGATATATTGAATTTGAATAGAGATTGAAGCCCATGTATCCTTGCAGATTCCAGACAAGTTGGGGTACAGCAGTGAAAATGAATGGGAGTCTGATTACTGTCACTCCCTGGAGGACAGTGAAGAACAGCCCAGATTTCACCTTGACAACAGATCAACAGAAGACAATCCAGCCAATGAGGGGACAGGATTAAGTGGAACTGTTGTTTGATTGGTTTATATAATAATCAGACAAGGCAACAAATCAACAGTTCGGTGGACAATCCAATCAGTGAGGACAAAGGATTAAGTGGATTTGTTATTTCTTGGTAAATTCAAGGAAGTTGATTGGTTATAGTAAGAAGGGAAGATATTTTCTAGCTGTAAAGTAGGGTTGGTTTGAAATTGGATAAACATTGTTTACAATATTTTTAATGTTTATCACAGGTGTTTGCTGTGTAAACATACATGTGATAAGTTTGATATTCCTAAATATTCAAACATGAAATAAAACATTCATTTTATTTATTAATAACTTAATCAGATCAGATTTAATCAGTTACCATTTTGTGAATTGTTGTCAGAGATGAAGTGGCCTATTGCACAGTTGACATAACCAAAATCTTGTATTGTTGAGAACCTGCTTTAGCTTCAGGAATGTATTATCTGTACATTGAACCCATATGTAAATGTTTCCATTATGGTTTTTTATGTCATTATTTACTTGATATTTTTTATTTGAAATACAGTTTGTAAAAATGATTTTATACACCTTTATATCAGGACAAAAAGATCTCCTTGGCTTTTAGATGTTTCTTCTTGATGTTTACGTATATATTATATTGGGAAGATTAATTATTTGTTACTATTGAGTTGAGAATTTACTTGGGATTTTTATCAGAACATGTATAAGTGTTATCTCAGAAACTTGTGTATGCTCATATAAGTACTTTATCTAACAAATACCAAGTAATTTATTTTTGTTGTAAAAGTTGTTGATTTATTTTTCCTTCAATTTTTGACTAAGGTTTCTTGAGTAGTTGAAATTATAAAGATTGACAGTTTAAATTCCTGTCAAAATATGTCAGCATATCTCATTTGGTCAAACCATATGTACTTTAGTCCCTATATTGTCAATATTATTTTTGACTTTTAATTAACTATGATTTCCCATCCCTTTTGTTGTTTTTATTACATTTTTAGCTCTTCTGAGCCAAAGGCTCAAAGAGCTAATGCTATGGCCATTTGTGCGGTGTGCGTAAACTTTTTAGAATATGGGCCATAACTCAAGAACCCCTTGGCCAATTATTGTCAAATTTGTCACAGGGTATCCTTGGCCCAAGGGCTCCCTTTTATACTAAAACTGGGGTTGTGACCCTTTAACAAGGGGAGATAATTAGGAAAATAGAAACAAAAGTACTGGTTGCTAAAAAATCTTCTTCTCAAGAACCACTGGGCAGATTATCACCAAACTTACACAAAAGGATGAGGATATGTTGTAGATTAAAATTTGCACGGGGATTTACCCTGGGGCAAAGGGCGTGGTCTCAAGGTCACTTCAAAGTTGACCAAAAATTACATTTTATTAAAATGTTGATATTTTGCTTACTATAAGGACTAGGATCATCAAATCTTGTCAGTTGGTGCATCTAAGGACCTCATATCATGTTGACTCAAAAGTAGGTCACGGTGACCTACTTTTTAAATTTTGCGGCCATTCTTTTTCAAAATGATTTAGAGGCATATTTTGAACAATTTAAGGCCTATGATCATCAAACTTTTTCAGTTGATGCATCTTGGGTCCTCAAAGTACGTCAACTAAAAAGTAGGTCACCTTGACCTACTTTTTGAATTTTATGGCTAATCTTTTTTAAAACAATTAAGGTCATTAATTCGAATACGGGGAGGCTTAGAATCATTAAATCTTGTAAGATGATGCATCTTGGGGCCATAAAACATATTTATTAAAAAGTAGGTCACAGTGACCTACTTTTTGAACTTTGCAGGCATTCGATTTCAAAGCGTTTTAGAGGCATAATTTGGACATTTTTAGTCCTATGATCATAAAACTTTGTAAGTTGATGCATCTTGGGTCCTTAAAAAAGGTCAACTGAAAAGTAGGTCACCATGACCTACTTTTCAATTTATATGACTATAATTAAATATTTCAGCTACTAATTGGCTTAGAATCATCAAACTTTGTCAGTTGATGCATCTTGGGTCTTCGGAGTAGGTTGACTAAAAAGTAGGTCACAGTGACCTACTTTTGAAAATTTATGGCGTTAATTAAATATTTCGGGTACTAATTGGCTTAGAATCATCAAACTTTGTCAGTTGATGCATCTTGGGTCTTCAGAGTAGATCGACTAAAAAGTAGGACACCGTGACCTACTTTTGAAATTTTTTGGCTTTAATTAAATATTTCGGGTACTAATTGGCATAGAATCATCAAACTTTGTCAGTTGATGCGTCATGGGTCTTCGGAGTAGGTCGACTAAAAAGTAGGTCACCGTGACCTACTTATTGGAAAATTTATGGCGTTAATTAAATATTTCGGGTACTAATTGGCTTAGAATCATAAAACTTTGTCAGTTTATGCATCATGGGTCCTCGGAGTACAACAACTGAAAAGTAGGTCACGGTGACCTACTTTTGAAAATTTATGGCTTTAATCAAATATTTCGGGTACTAATTGGCTTAGAATCATCAAACTTTGTCAGTTGATGCGTCTTGGGTCCTCGGAGTACAACAACTGAAAAGTAGGTCACTTTGACCTACTTATAAAATTTTATGATTATAATTTAAAAAAATATTTTAGGTATTAATTGACTTAGAATCATCAAACTTAGTTGATGGGTCCTCTGAGAATGACAAGTGATAAGTAGGTCACCATGACCAACTCTCAGGTACTAATTGGCTTAGAATCATCTTGGGTTCTCAGAGTGTGAATTGGAATTTCAAGGGTTTATGTAAATATACAGGATACTTCGAGGCTTCAAATAGAAGTGATAGGTTGTACAGTTTATCAGAAGAGCGATTCAAGGCCCATGGGCCTCTTGTATATCCTTCATTTTACATATTATTAAGGGTGCAACGATAAACCGTTTGACGGTATATCGCGGTATATTTTTCCACGGTCAATTCATGATACGCTAAACTGATATCGCGGTTCGGTTCAATCGGTCCAGAATTATCCGAATCGTCCATTTTGTTTCCTTTTTTAAAATTTCAAAATGGCTTCCGCACAAAATGTGAGGTCGCCGATAATGCATTAACAGAAGTTAAACTCATTTCCAGCATCTTACAGACCTCAGATTTAACACTGAGAAGGACTTAATGTGATTATATGTTATAGATGTTAAGACAAATGATAAACCCTTTAGATCTAAACATATTCTTTGGTAATACACGATATTTCATCACGTGTGTATTTCGATGAGAATTCACTGTCTTGTTGACTAAAACGTGTTAACACGAGAAATATGACAACTGGTTTTCTACGTAAATAAAAGGAATAAAAGAATGAATGTCTTCCTTTTTCATTCCAATTTAAAAGGAAGATTATTAGGAAAGGTCCCCGAAGTTCCCTGTAAATGTTCATCATTGGTTTAGAATATTGTCAAAACTCAAAGATGTACCCAATAATCCAATTCAAGTTAACAAAATTTTATTTTAATTATTATCAAAAAATATGAACATTTTATATAACCCTGTCAAGTTAAAGAAAAAATATGGTGACAAACTTGAAAGACTTTTTAACCTTGTCATGTATCATGATACGTATCGTATCGTGAACTGAATACCGTGATACGTATCGTATCGTGAGGTTAGTGTATCGTTGCACCCTACATATTATCATTTTTATCATTGTAATATATTTCACTGCACTGTGATTTAAGTATTATAAGCCTTATTTTTACTTAAGTTTGTGTTTAACACATGTATTATACAATCATATATTATAAATTTTATGTATGTTGAATAATAGAAATTCTTTTTTATATACATGTGAATTCTAGTCATTTTTTTTTTCAGTATTTATAGATTATCAGTTTTAATGATAGAGAGGTTTATTGTTTACATGTATCTGACAGGCACTGCAGAGTGAAACACCCTGGTCATTTTTAATTTAATATCCAGGATCATCCTTTAAAAAAGTACTTTGAATCACTAATTTTTTTAGGGGATTTCATTTTGGTTGCTTTTGTGGTATGACAAGACCCAAGAATTCATGTCCTTCATGAAATTTTAAATTTCATATGAATAACAACTCAGTCTTGAACAATTATACTCACAAATCAAGAATTTTTCCTCAAACCACAAAAATCTGACCACATGAAAATACATGATTTTACAGTAATAGCTAAATATATAGATTATTTTTTATGGAGAAATTAATTATTTATATTTATGCCACTTGTAGTGTTCATTATATATTGTTACTGCAGAACAGTCAATTTGGCATGCATGTAAAACTAGATATGTGATGATAATCAAGATTTATGAGTGAAGTGCAAAATGACATGTGATCATTGCATTGGCTTGGTCAGAAATTTACATCAACTCCATACATTTGTATATACAATTTTCTATGCGTTTAGTGGAATGTTAGGTATTTTGGTTTTGTTCATTTAGAAATCTTTTGTTACATTATATACAATTTTATAAATTATCTTCTGTGATTTTTTCGTGCGTGTTTTTTACACCTATTTTCAACTTAAATCAGTACACCTATCTTTCAACCTGTTTTGTTCTTCTTGCATATATTTATTATTTGTTGATATTAATCTATATTTTATGGTCAGTTATTACGATCGATATCTATGGCTATCTGTTTTTGTCCATTGAGTATGGTCCATCATGCATGAGAACTTATCACATTTTATACTTTTCCAGAACCACTTTGCCAATTTCAGACTTTCTTCAGAGCATCCATGGGTGATCAAGATTTATGTTTCATTCAGCAGGGTTGATAACTAAAAGACATTCTCAAGAACCACTGAACCAGAGATATAATTTATATAAAAATATTCTTATGTAGTGACAATCCCAATTTGTTCAAAGCATGGCCCCTTGTGTCATGATAGGGACACAAATGGAGTTCAAATTTATATCTAGACATATGTATGGGGGAAAATTTAAAGTCTTCTCAAGAATAACTGAGTTCAAGTTGTTTGAAGTTTTACATAGAAATTCATTGGAAGAAAGCAAATAAAAAGTGTAGAATTTATTTGTAAGCATTCCTGCACAGTGCAGATTCAAATTTGTTCAAAATGTGGCCATTGGGAAAGATAAACAGGGCCAGAATAAGCATTATAATTTTCAGATTGAGATAAACTGGAAATATCTTCTCCACAAGTACTACAGGGCTCTAGATTGTTAAATTTATTTGCAAACATGCTCAAGTAAAATGGTTTCTCCAAAACAAGGCTACAGTTGTCAAATTATTATAAAAAGAAAGTCCTTAGAGTCATGTTGAATTCAATTTTTCTATATCATTCTTCTTTTGACCAAGTGGAGATACAAAAGAAAAAGTACAATGTAATGTGGTTAAAAAAATTACCTTATGACACTCAGATGACCATTAATGACCATGAGCCTCTTGTTTTTAAGAGGTATCCATATATTTTTACTTCAAATTTGTGTGGACTTGCTGAACACACCTTTTTTGAGAAAGATGAAAAGAAATAAAGTAAATACAATGTTCTACACTAGTCTTGTTACCGAGTTTAGGATATATATTAAACTCTTCATGGTCATCTTTACTCTCTTCCACAAAGCTGGTGAAGGCTTGGATATGCATCAAAGATTGCAAGTTATCAATCTTGCTGCAGATACTGCATGTGACAATACTGTCTATAGACAGAACAAGTTACGGTAAATGTTTTGGAGAACAATGATAAAGGTAAGTTTTACTTGAATCATTGTTGATGGATGTATCCAGAGATATCAATTGCTATGCTGTATGTGACCTTTTCCAAGGATACAGGATTAAAACAAAAGCTCAACTTGAGGAATTTTTAACTATGAATTAAAACATATGGATACTATCGCCCTGATTGTGACATTTTCCAGGTTTGTGGGGGTCCATTCCATCCCTTAATAGACCCTGAGTTGCTGTTTTAGTAGTTTTGAGGAATTTTCTGAAGAAATATGGAGATAACGAACAGTATTCAAGCTTAAAGTCCATTAAAACAATAGAAATCGGGAGCAGAGGAAACACGGACCTCCAAACACATCAGAGATGGGATCAGGTGCCATTGAGGAGTGAGCATCGCCATCCCCTCAC